CCCCCGCTCCTCAGGCCCTGAACAAAATTGTATCTAATTATTGTCAAGACTCAGTAGATTTGGTGATCCAGGATAATAATCAAAAGCTTTGCTCAGGGGAGTTACATTCAGTATTGCTGTATTTTTTCCTCAGTGTATTGTTTTGCCCAACCCAAGGTGTGTTTAATGCACAGTCATGGACTGACTTAACTTACATGTCTGTTTCAGGAGTAGAAATTTATCACGGTCAAGTGACAAGGAAGGTAGTACCAGGCTCCCTCCTCTACCAATGCCGAGTTTTCCAAAGTTCAACCAATCACATTATCAACCACACAGGATGACGTATGACCAGGTGGCCAACTTCAGGTAGGAAGCAGTCACGCCTTAAAGGCACTGTCTTGACACTATAAACTAAGCATCAAACATTTTGATTGAAGTTTATCTGACAGTAAGCTTGTAAAGCAAGACAATTTTGGAAGAAAACCTAATATTTAACAGTTAAATACTGCATTATTTTTTTAAAATTTTTTAAAAGTTTTTTACTGAATAATGCATCCATGTGATCATACCTTACGGGTCTAAAAGGACACTAGCCAGCCTCTACCATTTTTGATGCCATCAAAATTATTGATATTGCATGGTGAAGCAAATCGTATCGCTTTACTGCAAGTTGTGTTCTTGAAAGTATGTTTAATTTTCTTTAGTAGTTTCACAGTGATTTCCTTCGTTTTGACATGCTTCAAATAAAATGTAATAGCCAAACTCTCACGTGTAAACCAAAAGAAGTGGCTGACTAGGACCCTTGTAATGGTGTAGATGTGTTACTCATCTAACTCTTTATTATCTATTTCTAAATGTGCTAACTGTTTTATGTGGTCAAATACCCTTCCCCCGCCACCTCTCCTCTTACGGCCTCCCAACTCGAAAAGAAATAAGGTAATATAATTTATAAAAGTAAGCTCACGTAAAAGTTAAGCAACGATGAATTATCCCTCAACAGGAGTGACCTTAATGACACTTACGAAGTTCTCGCCGAGAAGCAAGCAAAGGCAGATTATGAAAGAACACTCCAGGACTGGAATCGAATGAACTTGTCTGAACTGAAGAAACTTCCTCCCAACCCACGATACCACATCAAGAAAGCTATCGTGTCTTATCTCGGAACATCCCGAGGGTCAAGCAGGGCTCTCAAACCGCTGACTAAAGAACTGAACGCTACCACTCCAACACCAATTTCGCAACCGTAAAAGTTTATCGAAGCCTTTATTGCGTGTTAAAATGAGCTTCACTCTTTCAGTCAGGGTAACAGGTACCAGCTAAAGCCCAATTCTGGTCTTCCATATAAAAAGGACTCCTATATAAATAGGACGGGGGGGGGGTGCTTGTCGTACCTTTTAGGAGTCAAGAAAGGAGTTTTAGTACCTATTAAGGTGTTCAGTCTCAAAAGATCCATACCGGGAGTTTTTGCATTACCTTTTAGGGCGTTGAGCCGAAAAAAAAATGTGACAGGAGATAATGTATTTTGTTCGAATTGTAACCGCTTAGGGGTGAAAAAAATTTTCGAGCCACGCCTACAAAACAGGTTCCTAATACCTCTCTTATTAGTGGTTCTTTTCAGAATTTTCGACCCCTGTCCTTTTTACATGACAGCCCCCCCCCCGGGTCTTCGACCGCAGTGCGACTGTAATAGATCTCGAAGTTGCTCAACCTTGATCCCAGGCTCTCTCTCCTTTGCCTCTCTTGTCGTGTGAAGAGTGAGAGCCTGGGAACGCTATGCGACTGTCTATGCCATGTTGGCGTGACAGCTTTTGAAACCCTCTCTAGTGCTCCGGGACATCATGATTCGGGGAGATTTTGGTGCTTAAGTAAGTAAGTAGATAACTTTATTACTTTGCCCGGCTGTTGCTCCCTGACTGAAATGAGTGTTTGTATCAAACCATTCGTGAAGAGATTAAATTTATAACATAAATGCGTTTCGCATTATATTGATTACACATTGCGTGTGACATGTTTTTAGATTTTTACAAAGAAAGTACATGCTGCGGATTCTCGTTATTGGGACGACCACAGCAAAATATACTACAGGTGCCGAAATTTTAAAAGACCCCATAATGCGAACATCAAAAAACACCAAAGAGAGAGAAAAATGCTTGAGATTAGGAAAGATCGAGGTTACAAACGACCAACTCCAATTCATTCGTTTTGCTTACGAATGTTGTTGTGTGTAAATATAATTATAAGGACTGTTGCAGTTAAGAAGCAGATTTTTTAGAGTGTGCAAATGTATTATATAGTTCAGAAGTGTTAATAAACAGTGAAATTTGCAGATGTTTCCGTTGATCATTATTTTCGGTAGTTATTGAGGATGTGACCTTGCATGGACTTCAAATTCGATTTGAAATTACCACATTTTTTTGTTCGACCAGCTTCAGAAAGTTTGAAAATAAAAAAAGTTTGCATTTATTTTTTAATGTCTTGTGACCCTCAGTTTTCCAAAGATAGGTCGCTACATTCT